GCAAAAATTTAACTATAAAGAAATTTTGAAATACAACACATATTAAAATTTAACTTAGACATTTAACAAACAAACAACTTTCAAGACTAATAACATCTTGCATAACTTAGTAAGTAATCAAATAAAGCAATAGTCCCAAGTGACCCTCTATTATAGCTATTCAAGAGCTAATAATTATGCAGCTCTCAGTTAACAAGTTACACAAGACAACATTCACTGCTAAATCTGACCTAATTCTATCCACCTTTTTTGACACCCACCTGCACCTCTTACAATACACTAGTGCAGGAAAATTCCATTTAGATTACAAGGTTGCCTCAGTTTGTTTTACTTCATAAAATATTTTTAGTTGAATTTACATTTCATTAAAACATACAATGAATTGAAATATGATAGCAATGGTCCACAATAAATCAAAGTGTTTTTTTTGTAAAGTTCACATGCAATAAGCAAAATACAATGCCAATATACCCTAGATGCAAATAGCCATTGAAATCTTGCTGTCCTTTTAACAGCATTCGATTCTCTGCTGTCATCATCACCATGCCCCCCCCCCCTATGTAACCATAGCATTTGTAAAAGTGGACACGATGAGAGTAGGATATGGAACCCTATTCAGGATAAGAAAAAAAAGTCTTGGCTCTCCTGTTCTCAACAAGATCTCAAAACCTATTTCTGTACAAGGAATATTAACCCGTTGAGCGGCAAATTTTGTTCATGCTTAAAATTGGTGTGTTTATTCACATTTTCTGTAATTTTCATTGAATTCAATCTTAATTTTGGACCAAACAGACTAAATATAACACTGCTGCTAGTTTTTTATCAAAATATTTCAAAATTGTCATCAATATTTTATATTTTGTGGATGGTGACTTAAGTTGATTTTGGTGCACAGAGGGTTAAGCACATTTCTGAATTCTTGTTGACCATGGCTGACCAAGATACATTGAGTACTTTTGAGTAATTTCAAATCTGAGAAAATTTATTTTATCAAAGTTGTATACTGTACATTCCTCTCACAGATAAATAATACGTTGACTATCAAGTATCTGGTGGTCAAATGCAAGAGAGAAAAGACTTAGACCCTAATGTAGAATATGACTCTGTAACAGTATAGAGTGTACTGCTCATGCCCCATCAGAATTCAATGTCAGGGATGGCTGTTGTCACACAGCATTCATTCAATGTTCACATTAACAAACAATGTGTTTTACATTTGTTGTATACACTGCATGGGACTAGTATTAAACATTGTAATTTTACAGGAAGTTGCGCATTTATCCAGACCAAGCAGCTCAGTACATCATACAGTAACATATACACTGGTTATACAACCATGTCATATATAAACCAAAACATGCAACATGTTAGGAAATACTTGGTGTTACCTAACACAAACAATGTAATATATGCATGACTACTTGGCACAAACATCATGTGACACGGAAGTGAAAGCCTACATACCTATAAGTATTCATGGATTGTTATACTAAACCTTTAGTATATTTTGATGTTTATTTTGTTGCGCTTAGAGTAGAATATGAAACAAACAATTTATACCCACTTGCTCTCAGACAATAATTTCTGCATATGGTATTGCTGTTGAAATGAAAACACTATCTATTTTACGGTGCATGGAAAGCTCATTATGTACATGAATATTTACTTAATATGTTGCACGTGAATGCTTACCATGAATATTTTTGCAAAATTTGTATGTGAATGTTTACTCATGCTTATCATGAATATTTTGCAAAAGTTGTATGTGAATGTTTACTCATGTTGCACATGAATACTTACCATGAATATTTTGCAAAAGTAGTATGTGAATGTTTACTCATGTTTCACATGAATGCTTACCATGAATATTTTGCAAAAGTTGTATGTGAATGTTTACTCATGTTGCACATGAATGCTTACCATGAATATTTACTCATGTTGCACATGAACAATGCTGTCTATTATGTGTTTTGCATTGTCATTTTTTATGAATTATTTTGAAGAATTAGCATAGATTAGGACCATATAGTTACCAGTTTCAAATCAAAATTGTAACACAAATAGCTGAATATATTCTGATGATGTATTCAAGACTTTACATGTTGATTATCAAAGGCTGACATTTAAAGTCAGTTCAACAGATTGCACCTAGATGAGCAGCATACATGTATAATAACCTTAAGCAGATTTTTTCAAGAAGTAATCTTTCTTTCAACCACTAAGTGGATCTTCTCTGCAGTTTATTGCATACAATAGTCTCTCTGTCATAATCTGTTGTGTAGAATACTGCGGTAACTTGATCATAAACATGCAAGTCTCCACTCGAATAAATCTAGCATCGGGCTGAGCTGGAAAAATAAAATAAAAATATTTTACATATTGAAAGAATACGTTATTACAGAATAAAATTATGATTAGCATGTATCCACTATTACTGACACAGTCCCTGTGCAGTATTTGAAGTTCTTGGAATTTAAAATTAGTTGTGAAACAAAATTACATCAATAACCCACCATGAGTGACCTTCAAACTATGTTTGAATGCAGTTGGCTAGGCATGTCAGAGAACAATCTTATTAAAAGTGAAATTCAAGTAGAGGTGCTGGTCATTTTTAATACATAGGGTGGTGTGTACACCGAAAATTACTAAAGCAAGTCATGTTAAGGTGTGAAAGAAGAACTTTCCTAAACATGATAGGTAGCCACCTTGTCAGGTGTATGGTAATTAAATACAATAAACACCAGTGATCAGAATTAAAAGAATTGTAAAAATATGCATGATAGTCATTAGTTTGAATAAACTAAAATGGCTGTCAAAAAAATTATTTTTATGCACCAACTCTGAACAAAATCAGTCTTAGGAGAAAGATAAATAAAGCCGGACTAGCTGGATATTGGCCGAGTAAAGATATTACTAACTATGTACTTACTGGTATGACTATCTGGTGGAGCTATCTTCATTGGATAGGGCGGGGTGTGACTAGTATCTTTGTTTCCATCTTTACACGGACATGTGCTTGGTATGCGTTCCTGATTACAGGCAAATTTCACAAACTTTGACAACTCCTCTTGAGAAAAACTCTCTAAGGCATTCCAGAAGTATTCAATATGAGGATCAGTTTCCATCAACCCAACCTGGTACATAGTATGGCTCTGTAAAAAAAATGATTGTTTGAAAAAAAGTAACTATCTCATACAAGTTCAAAAAGGAAGAACACTAACTAGTGTATATACTATTATTACTGTTCGACCAAGGGTCTTTGTGCCTAGCATAAATGCACATGTAACAATCAAATACACAATGGTAACCGAAATCCATCCAGGAAAACCTTAGTGATGGATGCCATCTTCTACTGTGTACATCAATAATACAACCACAAAATTTCCTGTATGTTCCTGTTCTAAACTATGTACTGCATTTGTATTGGCAGAGAATGATTATATTCATCCTGTAACCAAATATTATTCACTTGTGGCCTAAAATGAAAACAAAACCTCATCACATGTAAAGCTACAGCCTGTACGTGACATGGTGTGAGGTACAAATTGTACAATACTTTACCTTGAGAAAGTCCAAGTCAACTGTAGGCAGGCCACAAGTTGTGAGTTGCATATCATACGGTGTCATAAGTGTCAATAACTGTACTGGCATGAGAGACGCTAAGCCACATCTAACAGCCAACATTCTATTACAACACTTTAGTTCATCCATTCTTAGTTTACATATGGCATCTATGTACTCTTGTCTGTTGTTCAGACTGAAACAAATCAACGTGCAAGTTAAACATATACCTTTGTCTGTTAATACAATTACCAATTAGAAACAACGATAATAGCGTATTTTTAATCATTTTCATTCTTGGGATTACAACTAACATATCCTACATCGATTGCAAAGCATACTACTTAAATAACGCTGGGTTTTATAAAGTAATCTTGTTGTGGAGTTGTGTAACATAACCTACCAGACATTGATATTTCTACCTCCTGGCCTCAATTCTACCTCTTCACCAGTAACAGTATTGTAAGTAAATTGATATAAACAACCGTCTGAACACAATGCAGAGAGATCATTCTCATTGACAGCCTGCAGAGTAATATTAGATGAGAGTCAGAACACATCAGACAGAGTTAGCATCAAACATTACCATTTCATTTTAACTTCTGCAAACAATCCTACTAACCTGCTCCAGTTTTTTAATAAAGCTATACGTCAATATATCAGCTTCCTGGAGGTCAGTCTCCAGATCCAGTGGATAGTCAACCAGACATTTCCAGAATGTAGACAGAAGATCCAGACCTATGGGTATATTGGCACGTATGGAAATACCCAGCAACTGTAAAATAAATCAAAGTATATTATTGGAACTGTCTGTTCATGTCTTAGATGCAACTTGATACATGTACATGAAAATGTAAAACCAAAATGGTTGCCAGCTAGCTGAGTTTTCATCACAATAATAAACACATGTCATATGTTTGACCACTTAATATGACAATGAGTATTTTAGTGATAGCTGCACACTTGTATTTCTAGAAGGAAAGAATAAGCTAACAATTGTTCATCTCTGATGCACAACAATATTGTTTGACGTAATGTTTAGCCTGTCCGATTGTTGGTTTTGCTCTTATGATTGGCTGTAAACGCATGGAATACACCCCACCCACTTGCCAGGTTCGCTGCATTATTATTTTGGCGATTGCCATCCATTTAGTTGGGGTGGAAAGCTGTTTGTCCCATGTATTATTTTCAGTGCACATAAAAATCCAGTTGTTGCAAAGAGTAGCGGTTAGGTTTGAGTCTATTACAGAAACGTATCAGGCTGACCAAATCCAAACAAATGGGAACTACGTAACAATTATGGAACACTATTTACACTCATTGTTTATCTTAGATAAATAGTTTTAAAATTTTAACACAAACTAGAAATACAATAACTTACTTGTCCGAAAAACTGTAAAAGTTTCTCTTCAGCATACGTCATAGCACCAGGTTTAAGAATATATTTGCCTTTATTCTTACCGCTAGCTGAACTAGGGCATGGTAGCAATAAGTTGAGACTTGTACTCTGCAATTCCTTGATCACTTGCCACAAAAACTGTCTAAAAGAACCACCTGTCAAAGAAGAAATGGCCCCTGTTACAATTTTTATAAGATGATATACATGTGCACTTTTATGCAAACGAAACAAATTTGAAATCAGTCATGTATAATATGTTAAATAAAAACAACATTTATTGTATAAAAAACATTTTCAAATATTGCCTCAGATGTCAATTTGTTCATCATCTATAGATTAAATATGAAAGATGAGAAAGTGAGGAAGAGGTTCTAGACTGCTTCTGAGGATGAATAATAAAGACTTACTTGTGCCATGGACTTCTTCACCAGCAAGTCTAACATTAAAAGAAAAAGTGGGATCTCCTCCACTGGCTATTCTTACACAGAACTGATTGGAGGGTGTGCTTGCTAACTGTCTCACGGCTTGACAGAACTGAGTTGATACTGAGTCTTTTGCATCACCTTTCAAAGAAAAGCACACACACACAAAAGGATTAAAATACAGAAGCACAAGAAAGGCACAGTTATAAATTTTTAAGTTTGCTTAGCATTATAGTTAATTACATGGAACAAGATTTGCATTTATGAGCAAAAATGAAATCTGGTAACTTGGACAGATTTTACTTGAGATGATTCAGGTCAAATTAAATAATTTAATTTTCGATGATGTTTTTATGCAAAATGCGTTTCTGATCTGACGTACGTAATTCGGCAATGACTAAATTAGTACAATAACTGTGACTCATTTTACTAATTAGTGTGGAAAAGTTGACAACTGGGCAACAGGAAACTGATGACCATTATGCACAATAACTGCATTTGCATTGTTGCTAATGAGAAATCAAATTGTGGATTTCTTCCAAGTCATATCAACATTAACATTGGTATTTATAACTCACCTCCAACTGTCTCCAATGGATCCAATACAATCTCTGGAGCAACTTGATCAAAATTCCTCTGTGCTGTTAAGTTCAGAATATGATTTAATAAAATGTTTTTTGTATCATGAAATATCAGTCCTCTAGCACTGGCCAGCAATGCAGCTGTACTCTCACTGAACGTCTTGAATGGTCTCAGATCTACCAGTGGCAGAAAGAAGCATTCCAGGGTCTTGTTAAGTGACTGCAGGAGTGCAAATCTTAGACGAAGACTTTCCAGTGGAACATCTGTAAGAACAAATACAAATATCACATTACCGATACACATAAAAGACAATTATGGAATGACAGTGCTAAGCAATTATTGATCCGTTTAAATACATGCAAGGTTATATCATGGTATGAGCTCCATAGTTATATACAATCAGTTTATAACATTATAGATTTCCGAGTGTTGGTTCTTTGCACATTCTTTCCTAACACACACAAAAACCTAAACAAACAATGTGTTAAGTTGTTTATTAACATTGCCTTTAACTGCAAAATAATTATTAGGAATCTAAGCTGATGTGAGCTTGAACAAAAATTATCATTATCAGAGCATGATTCTGGATTACTATTATTACTGAATTACTTTATACAGACTCATTTGAAGAAAGCAATTTGTATTTTTAGTAAAGTTTGAAGTGTAGTTTAGATTTAGACTTACCACGAAGGCAGTTGTACACAGGGTTTGCCAAGTATGCATCAGTTAGGTAAACCTCGTGAGCATGGAGTCTCGATGGTGTTATTGCCAGTTTTCTACATAGTGAATCAACAAACGAAACTATAGCACAGTCCATTTCCAATGTCCATTTCTTACAGAGTTGTAAAGCTTCACTCACATCAGTACATGCACACCTGACAGTAGAAAGATACATATTTTTTTAACAAAAACTGTCAGTGACTAGTTAAGTTGAGTGAGAAGAATTAGAGAGAGGGGTAAATTGCTATCCTTTCCTATCAGAGACAACTGGACTGTTTTTGTACTGTCAAACTACAGTGTTTTCCCTTCCATCAAATTTGTAGTGAAGATAAGTAAACCATTACTCAACTGAAATACGTCCATGACCCACAAACACACAATGTTATGTTCACTGTGCATGACAACAGCTGCAGTTGAAAAATACCACCAGCTGGGGGAATACAGCAAAATGATTTTCCCAAGCAATTGTGACGAGATAAAATTTAAAATGAAAAAAATGTACTTCTCCACACTCACACACACATGATTAAGATAAATGCACCTGCATATAGAACACATTTGAACAACAATGTCTAGCACTGAGTAATGACATAAATACCCACTCTCACTACCCGACATTCAATTGAGTTTGTGTTTTCTGTATTTACCTATCAAGGTGCAAGTCATAACCACAGGAAAATACAGCTCTCCAGACGGCTCTCACATCTTGCTTGACTTTATCTCCCACAAACTGCAGAAAACCTTCAAGATTCAAGACTTTATCTTCGCTGGACTCCTTAACTTTAACATCATCAGTCTTCAGCTTCTCACTGGTCTCCCTAGTTGACTTCTCAACCTTCTTGTATTTTTTCTCAAGTCCTGGTGTCCTGGTGGTACATCAAGAGAAATCAACACACCATGATTCACATGTACACATGTTTACATTTTTAACACATATATGTACCTTATGCTGAATATTAGTATTTGAGAACTAGACATGAACTGCACAGTTTTATAGACAGATTGCTCACAGACAATCTAAACAGAACTACTTACTTGACTTTGAGGGTGACTTCACCCAATGCCAGTCTCTCTTTACTTCCTTTGCCGCCTTTCTTAATTGCTTTGGCAGCTTTCTCACCATCTTTACCATTCTTACCTTCAAAAATAACACAGTCAAGTTCAGTGATGTGACCAAGTTACAAATTATGAATAATATTGTGAGCAGGTGCATGGCTGTAAAGATGATACTGGTAATTCATTTACATGAGTATTGACAGCACTGCTCTTGTGTTGGGAAAGATATTCAGTTGAGATCATACGATTCAAATAACAAACTAGGAATAATTAAAATTAATTTAAATGTTTTTGTATGCACAGAGAACTGACAACTTTTTACGTCCACTGTGAACTTACACCTTTAGATTCATAGCGTCACATTACCTTCTTTGGTCTGTGGTTTCCCTTTGCTTGGTTTCGGTATACCATACTGTCTGAGGACATGGTTGATATGCTCACTCACAGACTTCTTTGGTGGCCGCACATTAGAGAAGAAATGATACAAAAGATTTCCTGGTGTCTGAGACAAAACCTGATCTTTGGTGAGACTGACATCAGTACCCAATACCTCTTTACTTGCAGTATCAAGACGGAGTCTTTGTTCTGCTACAGTACAACTGGTAAATATTTCAGTAAGCACATCTGTAGTTTCAGTTTTTAATCCAGCACCAAGATTCTTGGTGACAAGTTTCTGTTCAAGATATGCTTCAAGGGCGTCCTCTCCGTGTGGTTCTGATAAAAGACTCTGATTCACGGTAGATAAAGACAGAACCGACTCTGATGGTATATCAACCATGTCTTCATCTCCGTATGACCAGTACAGACCAATCGGCGACTTACTCAATAATGCAGTCTTAACTGCATCAAGTTTTGTTTTAGACCTGACTTCAATAACAGCCACTCCTTTAACACAGTGAATAGTTCTGAACTCAGGTTCTTGTCTGGTCTCAGATTCAGATTGAAGAGTCTCCTCTGGAACAGTTTTTTCATCTTCTCCTGGAACAGAAACTACAGTTTCAATTCCAGCTTCAGCTTCGGCTTCTGTATGAACAACCTCAATCTCCTCCACGTCAAGCCCAGCAGATGGTTCAGCAACCCCAGCAGTGGAATCCGGTTCAGCTACATCAGCAGCTTCCTCAACACCTTCTGCATCTTTGGTATCTGCTACTTCTTTTGTTTCAGATTCTTTGCTCTGTGCTTCTGCTCTGTCGCTAATTTCCATTTGAATTTTTTGAGTAGGGATGAATACTTCTTCCTTGAACAACCCCCCTTGACCATTAGAAGCCCGCAGGATGACCTTGCGCACAGTTTCCTCTTCCAGGTGAGTTGGGATGCCTGATATGACTAGAAGTCGGCAATGGGCAGTGGGCGTGTTCAGAGACTGACAGGCATCGCTCACAGCATCATTAGTCACAGCTTGTCCCTGCGTTTCACGATAAACCAGATGGCGTAGAATCAGCGACATTGTCAAAGCTCTATGAAACCAAAGCATATCTTCTGGTTTGGATCCGTTCAGACTTACATCACCGACGGATTCAGTATAGATGGGTTTAGGGCAGCGTTTCGGTCCACTGACACGCTTTGATTTTAATTTTTTACGCTTTGCTGCAGTAACGGGACTTGTGGGAGTTGCTGGTAGTGACGTCATGCTTGGTGCAGAGCTGGAAGCAGAGGCGGTAGTGGTTAGTGAAGGAGAACTGAGTGGCATGCTAATCTCGGACAAAGCCAGACACATCTCCATCAAGGAATGGAAATAAGTGCTGTGTCTAGCTATGGTGGTTACTCCTCCACTGGGGGTCTCACTATCATACAATTTGCGTAGTTCAGTCTGTAACTGTTGTAACTGCATCAGTAGTGACAAAGACGGGCTAGGATGTGGCAACAAGGATTCAGTTTTCTGCGTATTGTGCAGTTTCCGTAGTAACTGTGCCAACAGTAAGAAAATATACTCCTTAATCAAGGCTGGCACGTCAGTATGCCAAAGGTAATAGGTAACTAATTCAGTTGCATGCAGCAATACACTTGTCGCTATGACAACAGGCTTATCACTATGTGCACCTGACAATGTGGCCCGTTCTTTGAATGTCTTCTCGCTGGCTAATGTCTCAATGTAAGCCAAGGCGAGTGGAAACTCGGGTGGCAGACCATGGATTGTGATGGTAACACCTGGTGGTGGAGATATTCCCATATGTAGATGGATCCTGTCAAATGGTAGTAGCACCGTAGGATACTGATCTATCTGGATGTTGGGAGGGGCTGTAAGACCACCTGTGCTGCTAAGTGATGCTTCTATTGGATAACTGATAACTTCCTGTCTGGATGACTGTCCTGTCTTTTTCACACGGTGTCCAATACCATAACAGTATATTCTGGCCCAGGGAGATTTGTACAATGAAGAGCTGTGAATGAAAGTAAAATACAAAGCATAGTTAAACTATGTCTGACTTTCTATGGTGAGAGTTGTATATAAGGACTTGTATACTAGTAATAGATTTTAAGGAATCAGGATAATTTTTAAATACCAAAGCGAAAAACATATCAAGGGTTCTAAGTTATTCCCAGTTACTAACATGTTTAACCCCCCCCCCCTAATAAAACTCACAATATATTAGTTTAAATTTATTTGATGAATTTTGATTAGTTTTCAATTCAATTTAGCCATCTTAACCAATAAGGCACTATAAGAATTCAAAAAGTAATTGTTTTTATGGTAAGTTTTCTATTCATCTTTTGTCATTTTTATAATATACACTTCTGCACAGCAACAAATTAATAATTTGATACAGTAGCGCTTTTAACATTTTCTGATTTTTTATTATTTAGTAGCATGGAGAAAATCAATTAAAAAATGTCAGATATGTGAAATCTTGAATGAATTAGGACCGCTCAAAATGTAATAAACCACTTTAATTTTGTGAGAGGCAATTTTTCACAGATTTTGGAGTCGGTGCAAATCTCAAAAAGTCAACAATTATTTGGGATTCATGCAGTGACTTTAGTGAAATCTTGTCTTCACAAAAACAAAAATTATCCAATTGTGAAAGTTCTGATAGACATTTAATCTGCATTGAATACTTACTCTTTTTTGATAGACTTGGGATCTCTTCTACAGCTAACAACCAGTAATGTAGAACCAGGAAAGTGAATATCTGAATTGACTTTAGTTTCAGTGACAGGGAATGCTTCATACAGGAAATTACTTGGAGCATTCTGTGAAGATGGATTATATACTTAGTCACCAACAATGTTATAAATTTGCTGGGGTTATGAAGTTTTACTATTTTTGCAAAATATTCAATAAAGCAAGCCATGAGAAACATTCCTTTATGTATCACATTATTTAAAACATGCATCACGCAAATAAAATCATGTTATACAGCACATTTTCGTGTAGCACATCACATATGTAAAATGTTTTATAAAACAAAAGTCAAGTGGTACATTTTATGTAACATGTTTTGTAAAACATCAAGTTATGTGGCGCATCATCTCATGTAACACATGAAGTTGAGTAGCACATTGGTATATGTGGAACATGATATGTGACATAATATGATGCTTGACATAATAGGCACATATATGTAATACATAATCTAATAGTTGATTAATATTACCTGAAGACAGGCACACAACTGATTAGTTAATTCCATCAGGTGATCTTCACCATGTGTTGCAGCAGTCGCTATGGCAATTGATAACTCTTCTCTTAGCTTTTGAGTGTCCTGATACAAAACATCGATGATAGAGCCTGTGTTGGCTGCAAGGCATTGCCATGGTGATGATGTAGATGTTAAAGATGAAGCCAATATACCACCATCTGGCTGAGGAGGAGCCAATAAGTCATTAGACAACAGTAGTAGATGAGTCAGATCTAACTCTGGTACAGCGGTTGCCGCTGCTGCAAATAATGCAGGTTCTATGGTATCCAGCGATGAAGGGAGCTGCCTGACTGGACTACGGCACTGATTTATGAGTTCTAGTAAAGCACCTCTACAATGCATTCTGGTGACAGAGGCTTCACATCGTAGTAACTCCCTGCAAGTTTAAACACATTTTGCATTACAGTACTAGTCTTGTGTGCTTTATATACTTCATATGTACGTCCACACTGTTGTATAATAGACTACTGGTACTCATTTATAACAGAGCTTTGTTACAGCACCAGTGATTGGCTGGTTTGAGATGATCTGTGTCACAAAACCATAATTGGCCATATTACTCATAGCCCCCAGTGAGAAGACCCCAAGCTATATTTTCAACCATTTTAGCAATGAAGTCACCAAAAATTCTCACAATATTCTTGAAATTTTGATTTTTTTTACATTTTAAGGTAAGAAATGCATACTGTGAAATACTTTATTTTAGCTGGAATTAATTTTTGCTGAAAAAGCTTTCTGGGTGTTTTGTATGGAATTTATTTTTAATGATTTTTGA